AATAATTGAACCTAGGATCTTTTCCATGCAAAGCTCATGGTTTATCATTTTAGGAAATTTACATTTTTAAAATGTACAGTAAAAAGCTATATATTTGAAAACTGAAGTGTCTAAAGAATCATCAGACTTTAGAGACAATATAGCATTGGTTGCTCTGTGATAGTGAACTGACAAAGTTATTTTCATGGGTTCATTATTACATCACTATCATTGTGAATTATTTTGCTGGTTGGGAAAATGCTGAATTAAAGAACAGAGCACAGTTATATTTGGGGTGATTTTTACCTTAGATTAGCATTGTTGGGGATTATTTGGGGCTCTTGTGACTAGAAATACAGAAGTGATCCGAAACCATGCCCACAGTTTTCAAATCACTGAAAGAGAAGACTGTATAATAAGTATAAGACTAGTCAATGGCTAAGAAAAACTTGTTGCTCACAAGGCATAAAAGGATTTTTTATTTTGCCCTTTAACAGTTGCAATCATGCATTGAAATGGGTTGACACAGGGAACTGTGAAGGGGCCGGTTGACTGATTAAAAGAAAATGTTAACAATCCGTTCAATGCTCCCAGTTTTTAAAAGTCCATGCAACATAAATTGAGAAACTGGTGGAAAGCATCAGGTTGTGGGAAGCTACACTACAAGTTTGTTGAAGGCCAGTGTAGAATTGCCCCCACAATTTCATTAGCAAACATACACAATTTTGCCTTGAGCTAAGCTACTCTATCAGGCCCCATTGATACTGGCCATATAAAGAAATGAACATTTTTCAGCCTTTCTTTTATAGAGCAAGTGGGTTTCTACATTTAAGGAAAACTTTCTATAGGATTTATTTGGGGTAAAGGGCTTAAAGGAACTCAGGGAACTCAGACATCTATCACGGGGTCATGAACATGGGTCACCGAAAGAGAAGGAAAAGAAAATTGCATTAACTAAGAGTTTGGGGGAAAAACAAAGATATCACAATGGTTCTGTAAGACAATGACTAAAATTGGATGAGTATGAGCCTTTTGAAACTGGGAGAAAATTGCAAGTATCAGATTCTCCCTCCTTTTTCTTCTTGTTTGAATTAGAAACATATAAGTAAACATGTCTAAAACATGGTATGTTTGATAAATGCACAATGGTCAAGTTGCTTCATGGGAAGCTTATCTGCCACTCCTGATCTTCTCATTGAGAGTCCAAGGAAAATAGTTTAAAATTCACTGATATAAACTGAAAGAAAACTGACTGTATTATTGCCATTTGGCTAAACAGAACTGAGAGGCTGGTACCCTACTGAGGGAACATGGAGCAGAAGACTAATCACAATAAGCATTCAACCCTCTTGACAGAGTCCCTGTGGTGTCACTGGCCACATGCTCAATCTCATAACCAGTGTGAGAATGAGCGTGTGAAGGCAAACCTTGCAGAGCATGACTTCCCTCTCCCTCCAGGCTCCTTCAACAGGACGCTGGTTTTACAAAACTTACATGATTACAAGAGAAAGGTCACTCTCTAGTCATGTAAGTCAACTATCAGATGCACTGAAAGACAAAAAAACATGTAGCTTATGGATCTGTATCATTGCAACTGAAAAAGGAATTTTGCTGAGCTTTGGGGAAGGGTGTTCAACTGAACCTTCTGCCTTTTAAAAAACAAGCTGCTCATATGAAATAGCTTATGTCATATTTGTTTCCTGTTGCTGTTAATTAACAGTATGTTTGTAATGTGTAAGTGGGTAAGGCCCAGCTCCACTGAAAGAAAGGTCAGAATATTATCACTGTTTTCAATAAAGCTGGGGTCTCACCCTATGTTAGCACCATTGTTGTACACTGTGGAAAGACCTGCGCACCTGTTCTGATGATACTAGAAAAGTTTCTTTGCCTATATTGTTAAAAGATAGTATCCCACAGAATCAGCTTATCCGTACCAATGTAAAACAAGAACATTAAACAATAACATATACTGTATGTGTGTCGAAATAGGTAGACAGATAGATGAAGACATTATATTATATATACTTCATAACAGTTTCATCTACATTACAGAATCATATATTTACAATTGCTAACTCTTGTTTAGAAAGCACATGACACTGGTTTTACAATTTTAACTTAAACATTTCCCCCAATATTAAAATTACATAGATTTTCAGCCGTGCCTACCACTCCTCTAAAAAGGCAGATCAAATAGCTTATTTTACCTAGCTAAAATTGGCAACTGGACTACCTTGAGGAGAATTTTATATTTGAGTGTCTGTGTGTGTTTTTTGTCAACATGTTGCCAATTATGAGAGACAAAATTTGCATTCTGTCTTCACAGAGCTGTTCCTTGACTACCAACTTGCCATTTGGTTGTGGAACACACATAGCAGCGCTCTGTGAAGGATACACATAATAGCCAGTCTAGGCAAATTTTGTATTTTGGCTGGCTGGATATATCATCCTTCCCTCAGGGTCCAATCCTTGGAATCCACAGGCTAGGCTTTTCACATCATTGGTGTTGAACAGGACCTTGGTCCTAAACATCACTCACCCTAACCCTGTAATAATTTACTTCTGCCATTCGAATCAGTGGGAATGGTGTGGCTCTCCAGAGGTTCTTGAACTGCAACCATCACCACCTCTTGCCAGACTAGCTAATGTTGAAAGATTATGGATGTTTCAGTCCAAAAACATCTGGAGAGTTGCACATTCCCTACCCCGGATATTTATATTAGGCTTCCTTTCCTGACCATACTCATTGCATTGGGCCTACTGCTGGCTCTGCCTCCAAATTTGCCCATACATTATCAGAACACCACTGCCTCTGGATAACCCAATCATGTGGTAATCCTTTCTCATGGATTGAATCTGTGCTTTTAAAATAGTAAAAAATATAAACTCGTGTTATTTTAAAGACTCTAGCCACAGAATTTCTCTTTTGGCCCATACCTATTCCATTTTCCTTTTCATTCTGGCAAGCTTCATTTCACAGCTACTAATCAAGTGAAACTGACTAACTGTTCCATCTAACAGAACAGAAGTAAGCCTAAATTAGATTTTAAAGTTAGTACACCATTAGAACTGGGCTTCCTTGAAACGATAAAAGATGTTTGGCTGTCCTAGCATGAGCCTGCTTCACTCCACATTTTGCCAATTAGCCATCAGGATTGGTCATCAGGAAGTGAAACTGGGTCTCATCCACTATTTGTTTTGAAGGAACAGTGTAATCAGAGCGTCAAATAATATAATAGCAGGAAATACGCCTAAGACTAAATGGTGTTACTAAAGTGGGTCCAACTTTTTCAGAAAGAAAAATAATACACATTGAACACAGTTTTCTACCTACTAGGAAGGAACATAACAGCTCCATCTGAACTGCTGCACATACACGTATTGTACATTTTAGACTACTTTACATTAGCATGACAGAGGGGAGCACCAATTCAAGTAGTGCAGAATCCAGCACCTTATGACTCCCTCTGGCTTTGGGTAATACCAACTAGAAAAAGAAAACATGACATGGCAGAAAGGCAGTTGCCAGGTCATCTGTCTCTCTTGTCATGTCTGGGATGTTTCTTTAGCTAAAGGAACATAATATTGATACCATCACAGATGAAGTTATTTCCTTGCTTTAGGCCAGAATTTCTTTGTAAGCAATGAAATAAACTTGGACCTAAACCTCTCGTACTGTTATATTTTGGAAGAAGAAACCTGTAGAGATAGATCCCTGCTGAATTAAAGCTTTTTTCTTCTAAATTATTTGACATGTTTTTTATTAAACATATAAAATTGTTTTGTATTACTGCTTTGCTCATTCTAACAAACAACACACACACATGGATAGACTGAGTTGTTATTCCCACACAATAGCACACATACAGCTAGGGTGAGTTGTTATTCCCACCAGATAACAACCATCAAATGAACATACACAAATCCCATTGATGTATGGGTCTACTCTGGTTTGAATGAACTACTAGCTTTAAACCCAAGAAATATCCCACACATCAGGGTTAAGTTGTGAGCTGCAGGCACTTGTCCCTGGATTTTTGAGAGTTGCACTCACTGCCATGACCCTGTTGTAGTTGTTTAGTCATCAAGACTCTTTGTGACCCCATGGACCAGAGCACGCCAGGCCCTCCTGTCTTCCACTGCCTCCCAGAGTTTGGTCAAATTCATGTTGGTTGCTTTGATGACCCTCTCCATCCATCTCATCCTCTGTCATCCCCTTCTCCTCTGGCCCCTTCTCCATGACACTGTACTCTTTACAAAATTCTTACAAAAACAGGGTTTTATTTACTAAAAAAAGCTGTTTGCACTTTTAGTGATCAACATTCAAGAAGCAATAATTGGGGAGGATGCCCAGCAGTGCTAAAGCCCCCTCACAACATTATGAAATTCCCTCTAAAGAGCAGAAGGGGACTTTTGAACCAATTAAAAAAACCCAATTTGAGAAGTGGGGTGCTGGAGGGCACTCCAGGCCCCCTGTTGGGTTCAGTGCAACCCACAGACTGGATATGGTCCACCCTACTATTGATTATGTTATTCTACTGAACCAATTTGTGTTTGCTAAACTATTTGCCACATATGTAAGAGTGGATATCTTTTTTTAGAAGAAAACCCAAAGTATTTCATATAGCTAGCTGAAATGCCTTTGGTAACCAACCCTATTAAGCTGGAGTATTTATAAATGAAATAATTTTTTACAATTGGCTGCTAAGGGGGTCAACATTTAATTGCTTTAAATCCCAGGACCCTGAATTTGGTACAGCAATATAGCTTGCTACTTGGCATTTCTGGATCTTTTCTTGTTTTCAATACACACAACCCATCTCCATCTATCAGATAGGGGATGGTCTGGAAGCTCCTTAATCTTTTCAGCAGTGGTAGTGAAACATATGCTACATCATAAAGGCAAATCTTTCAGTCTATTACACAACATATGTTATAACAGTAAATTACAATGTACATATATATATACATACAATATGTGCAAACTTCATATACATGAGTTTGATGTACACTTGTTTGACTTCAACAGTAATCAGAATGTTGCACAGTTTTACTTAAACCAGTATAAGTAATTCGATGTTACTCCTGGAAAGCAAAGATTGTTAGTGCACGATCCTCCGTAGCTGGGGGGACAAGCAGAACATGGAACCCCAACTTTATAGGGTGCTTCTCCAATCCAGTTCCCCCTAAAAACAAAGCAGAATGATGTAATTACTATTTAGAAGTAACTTTAGAATGCCTTTCTATAAGTTCACTAATATTTTTTCTCACTTGTTCTATGCAAGGCTGAACCTGTTTTTTACCTTGACGAAGTAGATGCACAAAGTCTGATTCAGGCATTGTACAAGTTCTGTATATGTTTAGAGGGGAGTGTTTAGTTCCCCTCTAGGCGCATACAAGTCATTGGCTTGTGTAATGCCTGAACAGAACAACTGAATAAAGAACTGAGCTTAATTAGCTCCTACAACAGGCAACAAAGGGTTGAACATTCATGGAGAAAGCTGCAAGGACTCTGAGATGAAGAATGAGTTTTTCAGTAGTGGTGGGATGGGAATTTTATATCTTTACCTCTTCTTATGAATGGGAAATGCAGATCAAATTAAAACAAGGTGCAGAATAACTCAAAAAACCATACAATTACAAATAATAACTATGTTGGATTATCTTAAAATATGGTGCTTTTTGCTATCTGTTGTTATTTTTAAACATATCTGCAAGTGGACCTTTAATTATGCTTTACTTTGCTGATAATATTTTCCCTCCTGAAACCTCTCTGCTCCTCCCTTCACTAAAATCAGAAATGTACAAGGCTTATTAGAATCTCTGTGACTATTTTTAATCATTTATTACTCGAGATAGGCACTTAACTCTGGTTTGGCGGTTTGGCATGGTTCAGAAGATCAGCTCCACAGGTGTTGAATGGGTGCGTGCAGATTCTGTGCCCTGTCTCCTCTTGTGGACACATAACACCTCCCGCATAACACCTGTGGGTCCAATTCTCCAAACCACACCAAACTGCCAAACCATAGTAATTGCCCATCTCTGTTCATCACTCCAAAGTACAAACAGTAAAACATTGTTTTTATGTAAATGTTATTAGACCACTACACCATATCCATGTTTGTCACTATTTTGATATACTGCTTGTATTCTGAAGAATACATAATGGAGGCAAAGACTACCCAATATAAAAGATCAGGGTAGAGAACCTGAAATTGGCTCTCTCAGATCTGATAGAACAGGTAGCAAAGAGAAAAACACTAGCAATGGTTTTTGCAAATACACATTATGTGAAAAAGATGACCTGAAGACATGCGACAATTTGAAGAGCAAGATGGAAGACTGTTCGGGTGGCCCAAAAAAGGTGCCCTGTGTGCTTTCAAAGTAGAGGGAATGAAATCAACTTACTTAGGGGCATAATTGCATACCAAATACACAGCTCGTCGCCAAATCGAGCCCCAGACATTCATATTGTTGCACGTCTGGATTGCACAGCCTATTCGATTGGAAGTAGCCCAGACCATCTAGAGAAATAACAAGTAATTTCCTTCAATTAAAAGATGCACATGAAAAGCAACACTCCCAATCACAGAGGCCCACACTCTGAACTAAAGTATGACACAGTGGGATCAAGTCACCTGAGTATAATGTGTACACATAGGTCCATAGCATCTCATTGGACACCTCGGATTGCAGTCCTGAGGGTAAGGGAATGCATAGTCTTTCACTTCATCATACCATGGCTTCACCAGCTGGAGAATAGATCGATACCTGGGGATGATTAAACTCAGAATGAGGAGCAGAATTTAAAACAGTGGTTCCCAACCTTGGGTCCCCATATGTTCTTGGACTAAAACTCCCAGCTTTTCACCACCAGCTGTGCTGACCAGGATTTCTGGGAACTGCAGTCTAAGAACATCCAGGGACTCAAGTTTGGGAAGCACCAATTTAGAATGTTTAGTATGGTTAGCATTTTTAAAAGATGTATTGTAATAAATAATTGCATTTTATGGTAACCCTTTCCAGGGTTTTGTAGGTACAGACTATGCAGGAGTGGTTTACCATTGTCCTGGGTACACTCTGGGACTATGTAACTTGCCCATGGCAATAAATACTGCCTTTTCATTTGGGAGACATAGTGGGGAATTAAACCCCTGATTCCTGGTGCCACAGCCAGATATTCTGACTCACTGAGCTATCTAACCAGCTCAAGACATAGGCTGCCTAATGGGTACTTTCTTTATGTAATCAGCTATAAATAAGGGTGAATTGACTTCTTAGAGAATGACAGGCAGTACTCTTTCTTGTCAAGGGGAACCTTTACCTTTTAATAAATAATTGCATGTTTATGGTAACCCTTTCCAGGGTTTTGTAGGTACAGACTATGCAGGAGTGGTTTACCATTGTCCTGGGTACACTCTGGGACTATGTAACTTGCCCATGGCAATAAATACTGCCTTTTCATTTGGGAGACATAGTGGGGAATTAAACCCCTGATTCCTGGTGCCACAGCCAGATATTCTGACTCACTGAGCTATCTAACCAGCTCAAGACATAGGCTGCCTAATGGGTACTTTCTTTATGTAATCAGCTATAAACAAGGGTGAACTGACTTCTTAGAGAATGACAGGCAGTACTATTTCTATGATTTGATCTACTATTCCATAATTTGGCTCTAGGAAGGACTTAAAAAAACATATTTTCCATTTTAGATGCTAACAAGTTGCTCTTTGCTGTCTCCTGTACTTACATCAGAAATGATTTGATCTACTATTCCATAATTTGGCTCTAGGAAGGACTTAAAAAAACATATTTTCCATTTTAGATGCTAACAAGTTGCTCTTTGCTGTCTCCTGTACTTACATCAGAAATGCATGTGAAACATGAACTACAGTTTCCATAATTCCCCTACCCAACATAGCTATCATTCTGGCTGTGTGATTCTAAGAAATGTAGTCCAAAATACATATCACCTGGTGCTTCTTCCTGTTTTCCTTGATGCAGACTGTTTTATTTCTTATTAATTCAAGATTTATATCCTGCAAGACTGATATTCTAACAATATCATAACATGCAAACGTCTGTATGCACAGACAACAGCTTAAACTAACATGGACATTATTTGACTATGTTGTATTTCCTGCCTTATATTCTAACAATATCATAACATGCAAACGTCTGTATGCACAGACAACAGCTTTAACTAACATGGACATTATTTATCTTTGACTATGTTGTATTTCTTGCCTCTTTGGACCTCTCCATCAATACCACTACATTGTGTTAAACTATTGCCTTGATGTAGAGCTGAGCACATGCTGGCCATACTCTCATTTATTAAATACAGTAATTTCACAAAGTATCTGCTTACCGTCCAGTCCGTACAGACAGATTTTGACCCAGGAATCTCAATAAATAAGATGGCCCATGGTCCCAAATGCAGGTAGCAGCCCAAGCTTCAGCAGATTTTGCTAGATTTTCATCCCATACCTGGTAAAACATATATTCTTAATTATGCTGCACACTAAGAAGAGGAGAACTCAAAAATATCAATTATAATGAATAAAACTTGAGAAAGAAAGAGTTGGTGGCAGATACTTGGATAAAATTCTAGTACCTCCTCCAATCTGGTTGGTTGATTCTTTTATGGTTTTTACTCCAACCAGACAGGTTAATTAAACATAATGAAAGTGAATTGGCTAACTAAGGATGCTGCCCTAAACACTGATAAGAGAATAAATTCCAGCTGAAAAAGAGAGATTTTGGATTATGCTGTCAAACAGAACATTTACTACATTTCTGTTCCACCCATCCTCAAGCTGCAGAGTCACACCACAACTTTTGTGAAATAGTTCAAGCTAACGTAAATGACAGACAGAGGCCCAACTATAATATTCTACATAAACACACATTCCTCTGCCTTTCAAAACCTTGTCTCAAAGCTCAGCTCTGAAATAATATTATAGCATAGTGCTAATATAGCATATTTTATAGTTGCATTTAAATTGTTGCTTATATTTTTGCAGTATTCCCTTTGCTCCCCTCCAGTCAGATTACAAGCTACTGGAAGAAGTCAAGGGGGACCCTAACAAGATCTAGAACTATAAGGAACTCTGGCTCAGCTTCTTGGTTTGAGCTGGAAGATGGAGAAGTTGACAGTAGATCATGTAATGCATCAGATGGAAAGGAGTATTCTGCTAAGTAGGCAAAGGCTACACACACACACACACACACTTTGTATGTACCTTTCATATCTTTCATAACAATTTTATATTTAAATATTGTGACGTAGTACCAGTGTAAGTGGGCATGCTGGTAGACTCATTTTATTCATCCATAATTTATTTCATTCCATTAAGGCAGCCTTCTCCTTCTCTATTGTTGTTGTTGTTGTTGTTGTTGTTGTTGTTGTTGTTGTTGTTGTTGTTTATTGTTTATAGTTTATAGTTTATTGTTTATTGTTTATTGTTATTACTATTACTATTACTATTACTATTACTATTACTATTGTTGTTGTTCTTTTGTTGTTTTGTTGTTGTTCTTTTGTTGTTTTGTTGTTGTTGTTGTTGACGTTGTCTGCCATCAAGTAAATTTTGATTTATGGCAATCTTTTCCCAGATTTTCTAAGTACAGAGCACACAGAAGTGGTTTACTATTCTCTTCTCAGTTTTCCTTCACTCCTACTTGTTCCCAAGTATTATCCTCTGCAGAATTTTTGTGTGCCTCTTTTTGTACCTCACACAATCATTTGCAACTGAACAGTATTAAGAGTCTGTAACTGACAAAACAACAAAGACAATGAAAAATCTTCTATAAGTGTTGTGTCTTGGGATCAATCTTGCTGTATCCTTCCAGGTTTTCGTAGTAGCCTGGTGGATGCAACAGCAGCTGTTACAGGTGACTTCCCTCCCTCCAATTAGCATGGATGCGGTGGTAATTGGGAGGGGGCGGAAACCTTCAATGAGAGGCGGGGTTTTTTATGTATATATACGCGCGTGTGTGTGTATGTTCTTTTATCCAGTAAAGTTGTGTGGAACTACTGCTGCGTTGTGACTCTTATTCGGCGTCAATATTCCATTATCTAACAATAGGTTTGGTAGGGAGGGTAATACTTTTCATGGATCTTGGCTTGCTTTTCAACATTTCATCAACATTCCTGAGGCACCCTTTTCTTTAATTTCAATGTCTGCTTGGCAGAGGGTGGAGTTCTTCTCCAAACGCCAAGAAGATCCCAAGGCCTGCCCATCACTGCTATAACACCTCTCTTGTGTAAGACCAGCATAAGAGCTACCAGGAAGTAAAGAGCATTCAACTGTCACAAGGGCACAAATACATTCACAAGCATCTAAAAGTAAAGATATGTCTGGGATTAAAATTCCACATTTGTCTCAGGATTTCTAGGGACAATGTCCTTTAAATGCAGTTTTCACCACATGAGGTCAATTAATGCAGTGTTATTAACTGAAAGAGGCCTAAAATCACATGCCTTTGAATTGCTTCAAATTTGAACGTGACTGTACAACATCAATGGGGTGCCAATATGATGATATAGAGTCTTGAGTTCCTTGATACACTGAACAGTAGAATCTCATAATGCAGGATCTTTCTTCATTTGAAACTCAGAGAGTAACAGGACATCCACAGTACTAAAACAATAACATATGCCTAATTCTGATGGCTGTGTTTTAGAAGAGGCCTGGTTGCATTTATTTTGGGCTGAATGATTTCTTAAAAAGCATTCCACTAATATTAAATTTGCATGTGGTACATATCCATCCAATCAAACTAGTTTTAGAAGAACTGGAAAGAAGGACGTGTGCCAAAGACATTTTAAATAGGCCATTCCTTTTTTTTTAATGGTTCAAGAAGTCCTTTGTACAAAGAAGAGATCGTTTCCAATGTCTATTTGTGATTCAAATGGTTCTGTGGTCTTTCATTATTAACACATTTCCAGCCTTGCTTCTTTTTTAATATCTTCCATAACAAATTTTAGGTCAGTTTCGGGCTGGCTGATGACACAGAAAGCCATCCCATGGGTTATATCATTTGGGCCATGGGAAAGAGTGCCAGCTTAAAAGCCAAAGCTTTCTACACATTCTCCATGTTCACATACCATGAAAAGCATCATACAGACTTGGCTAGGTCAGCTAGATGGCCATACATTTATTCACATTCAGCTCTTGCACAATAAACATTCTATAGATATATTCCGGTCAAGGTTCACTTTTTGGAATTTACTTCGGCTTCGGAAATCTGGGCAAAATAAAAGAATGTCATTATGACCTTGTTAAATTTCTTGGCTGACACTGAAGCTCTTCTGTTGTTGCCTTTCTCCTTTCAGAACCTAGAAAGGATACTGCTGGATTGAAGGATCCTTTGGTCCATTCAGTTAACTGAATACCAATGGGAAATCAACAATTTGGTAATGCTCCCCCACTTAAGTTTCCCAATAATGTTGTTAAGAGGAGGGATAGGGGAGTATTTTGTTTACTCCACATTTTTAAGTGAATCCTCATATTTGCATTTCCTAGACCAGGCTTGTCCAACATGCGGCCCAGGTCAGCTCGTAATGCGCCCCAGTGCAATTTTTCATTTTTAAAGAAATTCCAAAGTTTCAAGTTACACTGCCGGCGCTTGCGGCCGGAATGTGGCCAGGGCATGTCACAACAGTAGAGAGGGAGAGAGGGAAGAAAGGAGTGGGAGGGGAGGGTACAGGGGGGCTGCGTGAATACATTGTGCCATCCCCGTCATTAGGTGGACCCCCTCCCGGCCCCGTAAAGCCGCCAAAGTTGAAGCTGGCAGCCTCTGCTGTCTGAAATCGCAGCTGCAGGTAAGCGCGCTTGGAGCGGAGCTGCGGAGGACAGCTAGGGCTGCCCACCCCATGCAGCCCAAACCAAATATATGTGCGGCCCAAACCAAATTTTCATCTTCTAATGTGGCCCAGGGAAGGTGAAAGGTTGGACACCCCTGTCCTAGACTAAAATGCAAACTGGAACACAGCCATCCTTTAGACTGTGCACTTCTAATTTTGAGATACAACTTACTTATCAAAAATGCAAAATAATTTATTTAGTTCAGGGTTCAGGGAACTTTTCTACCTTTTACCGCCCAAAAAATTTATAAATGCCGACATTACACCTTTGATTTGAAAGGAAGGAAATCATACATTGTTTAAATTCAAAATCTTATTGAATCTACAAAGGCTGTGTACTGAACAAGCAGGATGCACCAAATTTAATAAAGATGTACACTATTTTTGCTGGAACATACTGCACACCAGCCATGGGGTGGTATAGGGAGTAGTAAGGTGTTCAACATGGCTAGCAAGTTGCATTAAATTTTTGCTAGCTCGCAGAGGATTTAATTATCATCAGTGGCTGCCAGAGCGGTGCTAGAAATGACGTGCTTGCTAGAGACAGCCAAGGCAGAGTGGGGGAGGATTTTTTCCCTATACTTTAATCATTCTGTGTCATGGACCGAGAACTCCCAGAAGTACAACTTGGATTTCGAAGGGACAGAGGAACTAGAGACCAAATTGCTAACATGCGCTGGATTATGGAGAAAGCCAGAGAGTTCCAGAAAAACATCTACTTCTGCTCCATTGACTATGCAAAAGCCTTTGACTGTGTGGACCACAGCAAACTATGGCAAGTTCTTAAAGAAATGGGAGTGCCTGACCACCTTATCTGTCTCCTGAGAAATCTATACATGGGACAGGAAGCAACAGTTAGAACTGGATATGGAACAACTGATTGTTTCAAAATGGGGAAAGGAGTATGACAATGCTGCATATTGTCTCCCTGCTCATTTAACTTATATGCAGAATACATCATGTGAAAGAATTGATGCCTTTGTATTGTGGTGCTGGAGGAGGCTCTTGAGAGTCCCCTGGACTGCAAGGAGAACAAACCTATCAGTTCTAAAGGAAATCAAACCTGAGTGCTCACTGGAAGGACAGATCCTGAAGCTGAGGCGCCAATATTTGGCCATTTCATGAGAAGAGAAGACTCCTTGGAAAATACCTTGATGTTGGAAAAGTGTGAAGGCAAGAGGAGAAGGGGACGACAGAGGATGAGATGGTTGAACAGTGTCATCGAAGCAACCAACATGAATTTGACATAACTCCGGGAGGCAGTGGAGGATAGGAGCCAGTAGCAATGGATGGAAGTGAGAGCTGGACCATAAAGAAGACTGACTGCTGAAGAATTGATGCTTTTGAATTGTGGTGCTGGAGGAGACTCTTGAGAGTCCCCTGGACTGCAAAGAGAACAAACCTATCCATTTTGAAGGAAATCAACCCTGAGTGCTCACTGGAAGGACACATCATGAAGCTGAGGCTCCAATATTTGGCCATCTCATGAGAAGAGAAGACTCCCTGGAAAAGACCCTGATATTAGGAAAGTGTGAAGGCAAGATGAGAAGGGGACGATAGAGGATAAGATGGTTAGACAGTGTCATCGAAGCTACCAACATGAATTTGACCCAGCTCC